AGAGAGACCAGAGGGAGCAACAGAAAGAGAGAGAGGGGGAAGAGATGAAGAGAGAGAAAAGAGAGAGAGCGCGCCGCCGCCGGAGAGAGAAGAGAGAGAGAGAGCGCGCGCGAAGAAGAGAGAGCGCGGCGAGAGAAAGCGCGCGCGCTGGCGGAGAGAAGAGAGAGAGAGAGAGAGAGAGAGAGAGAGAGTGAGACAGAGCGAGAGAGGAGAGCAGAGAGCCGCGCGCAGAGAGAGAGGAGAGAAGAGTAGAGAGGAAAAAAGAGCCGGAGAGAAAGAAGAGGCGCGAGAGAGAGAGAGAGAGAGAGAGAAGAGAGAGAGAGAGAGAGAGAGAGAAAGGGGGGGGCGGACAGGCTGAATGGGTGGATCGACACGCGAGCGGACAGACCGTCCTAGCGAAGAATATGAGCAAATGTGAGCCGCACATGTGTGTGTGGTGTGTGTGTTGTGTGTGTGTGTTGAGGGTGTGTGTGTGTTGTGTGTGTGGTGATGTGATGTGTGTGTGCATGTTTGCACGGAATTCCCATCACGCACGTCATATGTGTTATTCTAATGGGTGATGAGGGAAATGTTTACTGATTACTGTCACTGTTTACGCGCTCCGCCACAACATCTGTCGTTATTATAATTAGTTATGTTCTGTCGATTAATACGGGGGGGGGGAGGTTACATAGCTGTAGTAACATCGCGAACAGTGCATTCTACTCTGTGCGCAACCTACACTGTTCTCTCTCTCTCTCTCTCTCTTCTCCTCTCTTTCACACTTCTGCTCTCTCTCTCTCTCTCTCTCTCTGTCTCTGTGCTCTCTCTCTCTCTCCCTCCCTTCTCTTCTCATCTCTCTTCTTCTCTCTTTCTCTTCTCTACTCGCTCTCTGCTCTCTTCCATCTTCCTCCTCTACCTCTGCTTTTCCTCTCTCGCTCCTCTCTTCTCTCTCTCTCTCTCTCTCTCTGTCTCTCTCTCTCTCTCTCTCTCTCTCACACTCCTCTATATATAAATATATATCTCCCCGCTTCTCTCTCCCCCTCTCTCTCTCTCTTTCTCTGTGTGTGTGTGTTTTAATATTGAATATGAGCCTTTAATGGAGGGTTGGCTCAGTGTGACGTTTAAGCGCCTGTTTGCTTTTAATACGCAAAATTTATACGTTTGAGTAAGTTCAGTAGTATATGACATAAAATATTATCAATGTGAAACAGAGCAACATCTGCATGTATAGGCTCGTATAGTCCGGTGTGTGTTTTTGCTTGTGTGGACGCGGCTATTATATTATTGCAGGCATATCGGTTTCAATGTGATGACAAGCGCGAAGGTGGAAATTTATAGTTGTTTTAAAAAACAAATAAACGCAATGGGTAATTCTCGCTAACACTTGTTAATAATAACTTTTCACCGCGTGTTCTCTCTCTCTCTCTCTCCTCTCTCTCTCTCTCTCTCTCTCCTCTCTCTCTCTCTCTCTCTGCTCTCCTCTCTCTCTCTCCTTCTCTTCTCTCTCTCTTCTCTCCTCGTGGATTCTTTTTCTTCCTCTCTCCTCTCTCTCCTCAGCTCGCTCTTCTGCTCTTCTTCTCTCTCTCTCTCTTCTCGCTCTCTCTCTCTCTCTTCTCTCTCTCTTCCTCATCTCTACGCTCTTCTCTCTCTCTCTCTCTCTCTCTCTCTTCTTGTCTTCTCTCTCTCTCCCTTTCTCTCTCTCTCTCTCTCTCTCTCCTCTCTCGTCTCTCGGCTCTCTCTCCTTCTTCCTCTCTCTCTCTCTCTCTCTCTGCTCTCTATCCCTTTCGCTGTGCTCTCTCTTGCTCTCTCTCCCTCTCCTCTCTGCTCGCTCTCTGTCTTCGCTCTTTCTCTTCATTCTCTCTACTCTCTCTCTCTCTCTCTCTCTCTCTCTTTCTCTCCTCGTCTCCTTTTCTCTCTCCTCTCGCTCTCTCTCCTCTCTCTCTCTCCTTTTCTCTTGCTCTCTCTCTCTCTCTCTCTCTCTCTCTTCTCTCTCTGCTCCTCTCTATCTCTCTCTTTCTCTCTCTCTCTTCTCGTCTCTCTCCTCTTTTCTCTCCTCCCTCTTTCTCTCTCTTTAATATACATGATATATAATCGGCGTCCTTAGTCCCTGTATTCGGGCATGATTTCTACATGCACATAGTAATGAATCTATCATTCGTTCATTGTAAACACTAGTTCATGCGCGCGCTAGCGAGCATACAACAATAAATATACGCGTAAACTCATTCGTGTGTTTCCGCCGTCGCTTCGTATTTAAGTCTGCTTGCATGAATCTGAGTGAGCATCGGTGCGAAGCGAGACTGGCCGCCGTATAACGACTCAGGTTATTCTACATATCGCCGTCACGTTATTCACGGTGTGTGGCGTGAGACGCGGTGTAGCGGTGTAGCAGTGTAGCGGTGTAAGTTAGCGTGTCAAGCGGTGTAGCGGTGTAGCGGTGTAGCGGTGTAGCGGTGTAGCGGTGTAGCGGTGTAGCGGTGTAGCGGTGTAGCGGTGTAGCGGTGTAGGTAGTAGCGTGGGAGCGTGTGTATCGTGGACGTGTGTAGCCGGTGTACGGTAGCGGTGTAGCGGTGAGCGGTGTAGTCGTGGACGCGGTGAGCGGTGTAGCGTTAGCGGTGTAGCAGTGGTAGGCGTGTAAGCCGTGTAGCGTGTAGCGTGGCCGCGGTGTAGCGTGTGGCGGTGTAGTCCTGAGCGTGTAGCGGTGTAGGGTGTAGCGTGTAGCGGTGTAGCGGTACACGGTGTAGCGTGTAGCGTGGGACGCGGTGTAAGGGTGAGCGTGTCAGGTCGGTGTAGTCGTTAGCGGTTGTAGGCGGTGTGGCGTGGACGCAGTGTAGCGGTAGCGGTGTCCGGTGTATCGTTTTAGCGGTGTACGCGTGTAGCGTGTACGGTGTACGATGTAGCGTGTAGTGTAGCGTGTAGCGGGTAGCGGTAGCGGTGTAGTCGGTGTAGCGTGTAGCGTGAGCGTGTAGCGGTGTAGCGGTGTAGCGGTGTAGCGGTGTAGCAGTGTATGGTGTAAGCGGTGTACGCGTGTAGCGGTGAGCGTGTAGCGTGTAGCGGTTACGTGATAGCGTGGACCGTGGTGTAGCGGTGTTACGTGTAGCGGTGTAGCGGTGTAGCGTGTAGCGGTGTCGGTGTAGCGGTGTAGCGGTGTAGCGTGTAGCGTGTAGCGGGATCAAGTGTAGCGGTGAGCGGTGTAGCGTGTAGCGTGAGCGTGAGAACGCGGTAGCGTGTACCACTATCCATAGTCACATACTTACACTATAGTCCATACTACACCTATATCACATACTTACACCTAAGTCACATACTTACACTATAGAGAGAGCTCGCGACGTGTAGACGATCTGTGCGAAGTGTCTGTGTACTGGTGTAGTAGAGCGTNATATACTTACACCTATAGTCACATACTTACACCTATAGTCACATACTTACACCTATAGTCACATAATTACACCTATAGTCACATACTTACACCTATAGTCACATACTTACACCTATAGGTATATGCGTCGCGACCGTGTAGACGATCCGTGGTGCGATAGTGTCTGTGTCACTGTGTGTAGAGCGTGCAGTGATGAGTCGATGTGCGTGTGTGTGTTATACGTCAGGTCATGTTTGCTATATACAGTATTGCTCAAATCCATTGTTTAGTACGGCTGTGTAGTGTGTATGTACGCGTCTCAATGTAGACTCGCTTTACATATTATGTAAGCCAACTTAATTAATATTAATCATATTATTATTATTATTATATTAACTTATTTATCATTATAAATCAACTTCATTATTATATTAATCAAATTATTAGTAATTATCTGTTATGTTTCGCACAAATTAAGTCAGGTTGAGTTAATAATTCTCATCTGGGATTTTTTCTATGTATACGTATCCAGTCGGTGTGTGAGAGCATCTTTGCAATGCTGCCATCACGGACAGCTGTCCTATCTATCCTGTAGCGGCCTGCAGTGACGCGAGATAAAGTGAGCGGGTTTACGTTCTACCTACGTCACACCATCGATATTTACGTCACACCGTCGATTTCTACGTCACACCATCGATATTTACGTCACACCATCGATATCTATGTCACACCATCGTTATTTACGTCACGCCATCGTGTCTACGTCACACCATCGATTATTACGTCACGCCATACTGCCCACGTCACGTCTTCGTGTATACGTCACATCCTCGTGGATACGTTATTTCCTTGTGTAGACGTCACGTCCTTGTGTAACCGTCACGAGCTAAGTGTATAATAATTCACATTATATTCGCTCACTAATACGCATAAACTCAATCATAAACTGTGTGTCATAGTTGACAGAAAAATGGGTAAAATGGGTCAAAAAAGATTGAAACAGATGAAATGAGTTTAGACGGAATATTTATTACTGCATAAAGCACAAACATCACATACAAATGTCAATAACTTTTCCTAAATTAACGCTCGTAGGGCCTACACGTAGAATTTTACAAAAGCTTAAGGTCGAAGTGCGCATGCGCCCCAACGTGTGCGCTCAGTTTGAGGTGATGAAGATTTCCGGTCATGAATCATACGCTTCTCGGACGTCTACGTCATCTTAATTACTTCTACGTCATCTTAATTACTTCTACGTCATCTTCTAACTCGATCGCAGCGTAAATAAAGGAACAACATCATTAGGACAGATCCGCGATACAACGTACAGCTGACTGCAAGCGCGCCTTGGACAGACACACACAACTGCTACCGGGACGTATAAACGCTACATGATAACAAAATCTCACGTCGCACACTCGTCGGAGCTTAGTTGTCCTCATAGATAGTTGTTTTTAATCTACGTGGGTTTTTTTTCGCCCTCGCTTTAATTTGACCATCTGTCGGTCTGTTGCAACTCGGTATCTATACTCCCCGTCAGTAAATCCCTTTTCTCGACATCTTTCCCTCGCTCTATCTCTATCTCTCTCAATTCCTGCTATGTACAAAAATAAAATGTAGCCCTTCGCTGCCTCGCCTCGCTGGTCGATCGTGTCCTCTATCGTCTCTGGTAGCCGTAGTGTCTGCTTAGAGAGACACCATCGCCGTTCGGCATCAGAGATCTCAATATGTCCGCCAACCTCGCCGTCTCCGTCTGCGACGCCGGCGACAGTCTACAGCTCTCGTCCACCGTACACGATTCTGAAACAGACGTTCATGTGTTAGCTATGATCGCGACATCTACACAGCGGATCAACTCGTAACCCCGTAACCTCGTAAGGATTATTCTTTAATGACGATGCGAGCCCCAAAACCTAAAGGAAAGTAATAATTACTATTGTAAAATATTATTGTTTGGTGTTTTTATTGAAAAATACGCATAGTTGTGTGCGCATAAGCTTTAGAGTCCAATGAACTGTACCAACGACGGTGAGAGAGACAAAGTTGGGCTGAGAAGGTCTATGTCTCCCAGGGTACTGCCGGAACGTACCCTGGGTACGGTCCGGTATGCCGGAACGTACTCTGGTACTATCTAATACGCCGGACCGTACCTCGCCTACTCCACTAACGACTCTAGGGAGGCGTGTGGGTGAGCTCGCGCCTCTGCCTAACAGCTAGGCATGCTATTAGCAAGAGATAGTTGCAATTAGACCTGTATAGACAGTCATACACCACTGGTTGCTCTTCTACATGGCACCAAGAGTAGATAATATAACAAGAGTGAGACACCCGATTCCCGCATTTTTAACCGATTTTTTTCATCAAAATTCAGCTCGTGCAAGATTACGATTTACAGCAATATGCTAGCAAATATATGTAAACGAATATTAGTACACGAAGGTGAGTGATTAGGTGGTCATAATAAGCTGAGCGAACGTATACACTTGCCTTTTTTATTGGTGGCAAATTTTGATGAGAAAAATCGGTTAAAAATGCGGGAATCGGGTGTCTCACTCTTGTGTTATTATCTACTCTTGATGGCACTTCAGTACACGTGTGAGTGAAGGGTTTTTCTTAGTTTATTAGTTTTCTAGGCC